CAGGGCGGGGGGCTCTGCCCCCGCAGCAGAGGCAGAAACAAAGGGCCACCGACAGACCGGAGGCCCGTTCACGGTCACGTTCACGGCCGTGCGGCCGCACGGGGACGTGGGCGGACTGCTCGCCTAAGGCGGCGCGGACACGCCCGCGCGCTCACGCGCACACGCGGGCGGACACGCAGGGGCGCCGCACGCTCCGCGCGTGCAACGGGCAGGGCGCGCGCACACGCGTGCCCGCGCCGTGGCGGGAAGGGCCCCTCCCCGGGAAGCGGCCGGCGGGGCTCGGGTCGCGCGTGTGCCCGCTCACGGCCCCGGGGCCGGACCCGCAGCGCCGAGATCCCTCCCCAAATGGCTTTTGCAGGCCCTCGAATATGCCTGCTTCAGCAGAACGCTTAATCCCCGGGAGGCCGCCCTGGGGCTTCCTCGCTCCGCCGAGATAACAGCTCGGCCTCCCAACGCCAGGCTTGTGAAAGGGGACGGGGGCAAATGGGCTCCCTGGGAAAGCCCAGCTTCGGGGGGCTTTTTTCCACCGTGTCCGCGGCGCGCGGGTCGCCGGGGCCCCTCGCACGGAGCCCACGCTCGGCCCCTCCTGCGCTCTCGCCTGCGGTCTGGCTCCCGCTCGCACTCTGGGCCCCGGCCAGCGGTGCCCGCATTTCGCGGACGACAGCGCCACCTGGTGGCCCGCGGCCCCGCCCTCTGCCCGCCACCACCGCTCAGGCCCACTCCCCCCGCCCGTCAGGGGGCTCTTCCTCGGCCCCGCCCGGGGTCAGCTCCGACCTCACCCCTGCCGACTGCCGCCTCCCCGGGAAGTCCCCCTCCCGTCCTCCCGCCCGCAGGGGCCCGGCGGCTGTAGGCTGCGGGGCGGGGGTCCCTGCCTGTCCCAGCCCCCAGTACCTGTTGGTCTCCCCTGCCCTTCTCAGGGGGTCCCCTCCCTGGAGAAGCCCTCGGCACCCGTGCGGACACATCCCACCCGGCCCCGCTTCACCGTGCCCCTCCTTCCCGGCCCTGCCAGGGACACAACTCCTATCCGTCCCTGGAGGCTGGGACCGGGCTGCCTCGTTCCCTGGTATATCCCCAGTGCCCGCCACCCCCCGTGGTCAGGGCTCTCCAGTGGCAGCCGGACACAGCCAGCTCAATCCCCCCCCCCCCCCCCCCCGGCCCGACGCAATCCGGCTCCATTCGGCCACGGAGCCGGGACGTCCTTGGAAACCCAGCAAGGCCACCAGCGGGCTAAGTCTGAAGCTGCCCTGACCACCCCCTCTATTCCACCAGTGGGGGCGGGGGACGGGGGAGGGGGTGCTGAGGCCCAGGACCACACGGCAACTTGCGGGTGTCCTGTGGGGGGGGGGGCGCTCAAAGGAGGGATGTCCAAATTCTGGGAGCACCATGCTGGGCATGTGGGAGAGTACCAACACTGGACCCCTGCCCTCAGGCAGTACACAATGATGGAAAGCTGCAAACCCACCCGCAGATCCCCTGGCACGCTCAGACTGCTGGGAAAAAGCAGGTGCGCCAGGAGAGAGGAGCAGGGAACCCCCAGGTGGCAGGTTCAGGAAGAGTGACAGCCAGCCTGAGGCCCAAAGCTGGACAAGAAGCCGGTCATGTGGCATGGCAGAGAAATAGCAGGCCAAGAGCAGAGCGTGTGCAAAGGCCCCGAGGCAGCAGTGGGGAGAGTCCGAGGGTCAGCAAACAGCGCACTGGGGTAGAGGGAGAGAGTGAAGTAGAGGGAGGGGGAGAGGGCCTGAACGTGTGGCACTTTGGAGGCCCAGACAGAGGGGCCAGGTTTCTCGTAAATGCAACAGGGAGCTTTGGGAACGGTGAGGCTTGTTTTAGAAGGCACTGCCCACCCCAGAGAAGGCTGCGTGCGGAGAGGGCCCCTGCTGGGACACGAGGGTGGCAGGAGGCAGCGGACACGAGAGGGTGGGGGACAAGGGAGGCCGCAGGGGTCTCTGCCTTCAAACGGGTGGAGGGAAGGCGGGACGCAGTGGGAGTGGGCTCTCCGCTTGGGGGCAGGGCGGCTGCTCGCTGACACACCCGACCTGGGGCCCGCAGGAAGGAGTACCC